GATAACAACATAAATTAACATCAAAACAAAAAACCAATACAAGAATGCAGAAACATAAAGCACTAAAACCTTAAATAAAGTGCACATGTTTTGAGCGTTTAGTGCAAACAATACAGGACAATGTGGCAATAAACATAGTGGCATTTCAACACCAACCAGTGCAGTAAATGTGTGATATTGCACATAAATTGACCATCTAATATAAACACCATATATAGACATATGTAGACATTTGTTGTGTAGCAGCGATATATAGTTCAAAAAGTAATTTTTGCAATTTGAGTAAACCGTTTCAATGAATTTGCTTGTGTGTGTTAGTCTAGTCCCTTTGTATTGAGAAGTCAAATGGATTGTGGAAAGAAACTGTTACACAGTCTGGCTGTGAGGACCCAAATGCTTTGATACCTTTTTCCAGATGACAGGAGGGTGAAGAGTGGGAGAGAGGGGTGTATGGAATCAGCTACAATGACTTTGCGGATGCAGCGTGTTTTGTAAATGTCCATGTTTTGCAATTCGCAAGCCAGGTGGTGATGCTGCTGCTCAGGATCCTCTCAGTAGTCCCTATTGAGAGGATCCCTTGTTGTGAGGATGGGTGGTGTGAGTTGGGCTTTCCTCAGGTTTCTCAGGCTTTCCAAGCTTTCTTGGTAATGGAGCTGGTGTTGAGGGACCAGGTAAGGTTCTCTGCCAGGTGAACACCAAGGAATTTGGTGTTCTTGACGATCTCCACCAAGGTGTCTTCCTGAAATCCACAGCCATCTCTTTTGTTTTGTTCACAATCAGAGACAGATTGTTGGTTTTGCACCAGTCTTTTAACATTTACACTTCCTCTCTACATGCTGACACGTCATTCTTACTGATGAGACCCACCACTGTCGTGTCATCGGCGAACTTGATGATGTGATTCTAACTCTGCATTGCTGCTTAAGAACACAGAGAATGGACATTTAATGTCAAATATACTTTTTTTATTTAAAATTTTAAAATAAACATTAAAAGGTGCTATGTTCTTCTCAAATAAAAAGCATTTCAACAAAAAAATTGAAGTAAAATTATAATTTAAAACTTAAATTTGTATACTTGTAGAATATAAATAATAAACAGCAAATAATGATCAACTTTTGAACTTATTATTATTATTATTATTATCATTATTATTATTATCACTCATGACAAGAAGAGTTCATTTTGGTCCCCTGTTTTCATTACACTTAATCAAAAAAGTCTCCATGTCTTCAGTGAGTAAAAACGTAACTTAAATAATGGGTCTCTGTTTAATAAATAACAAATTCAATTTTAATTTAATTGTTCGATGGCCAAATTAAACCCTCTACATTTTTTGGCTGTAAAAACACCACAGTATACATCCACTGAAATACAAATGTTGTATCATGTATTTTTTCTGCCAACAGCTGGAAAGAGGTAAGCTTGTTTTAAGATGCATTGAACCTGGATGCTATATCATGCAAAGTTATTTGGTGATAATGGTGTTGAGAAGTTGCTGTGAAGTTGCTGAAATCGACGAATAAGCTTTCATAAGGTAAGTAGACTTGTGAATTATAAATCATAGCAGAAACTCATTAACTCATTTCACTAGATGTCCAGTTTTGTTGTTCAGTAATCTCCATCATGTCCGTCCTTTTATAATAGAATGTGTACCCCATGGTTAAAAAATACCTATACGCCTATAATAAAATACCAATATAAAGTTATAAAAGGTATATATCGTCTTTCTAAATCATTCCCAAACATAAGATTGTTGTTTAGGCCATACATACCACGTAATATTAGAATAAGCACCTTTTAGTTTCAAAATACTTACAGTATAAATGATTTGTAATTTTACAGGTTGTTACCCCTTTATTCCCCAAACTTCGCATATTATTCCCTTATACCTACACGGAGGTACTGAATAGGTACACTATAATTACAAAAAAGTTACACTGTAACTTCAGTTTACTTACGCAGTTCTTTGCAGGTTGCATATCTGGTTGTTACCCCCTTATTACCCAAACGTAACACATTGTTCCCTTATACCTACACGTGTGTTCTTTATAGGTACACTATAATTACAGAAATGTATACCGTAAATTCAGTATACTTACATAGTTCTTTGCGGGTTGTAATTTAAAGCGTTACCATTTTTTCTAGCAAAACACTGTTTTACTTTCCCAGCTTGCTCAGACGCTTGGTATTGCTCATCCACCATCAGCCAATCAGTGCTGCCGTGATAAATTTACGTTCCTGCATCATCTCCAGATTGATTAGCCACGTGACATTTTCATCTCAGGTGAGTTTGGCTCAATAAAGCCTTTGCTAAACTAAGAGCTGCACCAAAAGAACATGGGCTTGCCAGCCAGAAATGTTGCATTTCAAAAATATGTATGTATGTATATAATGCAAAATGCATATGCACTGTTTAAAGGTGACATATCATGAAAATCTGACTTTTCCAGGTGTTAAGTGCTATAATCAGGTCTCCGGTGCATCTACCAACCAAGGAAACGTGAAAAATATGAACCCAGTAACTTTGTTTTGGAAAGCATTTTTCTGCAAGCGTCTGAGAAAACCAGCGCGTCTGATTTCTCTCCCTTGGTGACGTGGCAAAGGGATCTCATTATGATATTAATCTGTAAGTTTCCACCCACTGCGCCGTCATTGTGTATTAGTTCTAACGCCATGACGAAAGTTTGAGCAAAGCATGCTAACTGTTCTGTGTTTGGCTGCACAGACGAGCACAGAACACTGTTTAGAGTCCCAGCCTCAGAGACAACAGAGCAGTGCATTTATTGATGTATTTACTGTATATTGCTGCTGCCACACAGATCTAAAATAAACATGCAATTTATTTCCCAGCTGTTTACCTTCACAGACATAACCCACTGTTTCTGTAACACATGTGTGTTTTTAACGTAAACTTGTGTGTGAATGAGAACTTAGTTTAGTGCGCACATGCTGTGACAGCCGCTTTCTGTGCGTGTGCTTCGGATGTGTGCGCTCAGAAAACCCTATATCAGAAGTTTAAACTCGTATGGTTTAAAACGCATGATTTCAGCGCGATAAACATGATAATCAGCAGAAACACAAAACCTCTGCTGAATGAAAGAAAACAAGCTGACGAAAAGATGGAATCCAAGGTTTGGTGATAATGAGAGATTTACAGGTAATTTTTGACTAGAAACACCACAAGTGCAACAAGGTGCCGTGACTCAAATGAGCAATCATTTACCTTTTTCTAAGTTGGTTTGGTGGATCATATAATTATTTTATTGCCAAAAAAGTAAATCTAACAGACAGGTCCACTGGTCTGAGAGACAAAACTGTGTAAAATAAATATAGTGCGTTTTATGGCTCTGATTGAGTTAGTTTGAATTGCAGTGCTTATGGTTTTCTGTAATTCTTTAAATAAACATGCAAATTTGGCTCTGCCATTGTTGTTGTGCAGTATTTCTTTTATTTATAAAGCTCTTGTGTGAGAATGAGTGTTCATGAAAATCTTTTATTAGACAATAGATGTTTATGCTCCTTATAAAGCACACATTTTTGGCAAAACCACTGTGTTTTGTCCTGAAGCTTTACTTTCTCAGCTTGTTCAGACACTTGCTTTAGCTCATCCACCATCAGACAATCAGTGCTGACATGATTTTGTTTTCCTGCATCATCTCAGTTTTATTAGTCACATGACATTTTCATCTCTGGTGAGTTTGGCTCAATAAAGCCACTTGAAATGAAAATCAGTGAGACAATGAAGGGAATCCACTTCAGTGCATATGAAATATTCTTTGAAATGCACATACGTCTTTAAAAATTCAATGCTTCCATATTGCACTCTTTTGAAATGTATATTTACATGTGATTTTATAAGTTCTGACCACGTTTTTCCAGGTGGAGTTGCTTTGATGTTTTTAATTTTTGAATGCCGACATGCACAGTTAGCTTGAGTCACAAATAAAAGTAGTTATAATAGTAAGAATATAACTGCATGCAACACTTAAGTGGCCCAGCACTACAAATGATGAGCAAGGCAGTGAGTATCAGACCAACTGCAAAAATTAGTAATTAAGGACATTTTAAGATGATTTTAGTCCAAATGGCTAAAAACAATCATAAATACAAACACTAGTGATATGATTTAATGGTTTATTACTTCTGACCAATAGGTGGCGCTGTTACCAAATTGATGTGCTGAGGTGAGTGTGAGGCACAAAATCCATAACTTTTTGCTGGCATGGTCTGAAGATGTGAGTCAAATTTGATGAAAATCAGATCATTGATCTAGGATGAGTCTGGAAAAAGTATGTTTTCTAGATCATTCAAAATTGCAAAAGAAAATGTGTTTCTAGCCCTTAAGGTTCAGAGGTTATTAGCATAAACATGAGTGCAAATTTGAGCTGTTGGTGGCGCTAGAGGGTTTGAGTTAGAGACCTCAAACTGACCGTGGTTAATGTCGAGACTGTCCTCTATCAGTGTGCCAAATTTCATAACTTTCCCGCAAGCGGTTCTATGGGCTTCCATAGACTCCTGAACAGAAGAAGAAAACGAACAGATACGCTCCTTTGGTGATTGGTCTCTAATAATTAAAATGAGCAATAATAAATAGACAGACAAACAGACACAGACTTCCGTATGCTTGTTTCTTTAGTAAGGCAGGCAGCTAATCACAGTCTCATGATTGTGTGGTGGTGTGGTAGTATTTCCCTGAATGCGTAAGTATTTTGTAGACTATAATATTCTGTCAGAAAATGCAGATCCTTCTGGGTTTTTTTGATGGTCATGTGGACACAACCTCACTTCCTGCGGTGGCCATGATTTCCTGCAACAGGAAGAAGGCTTGTGTTCAGATTGATTATAGATTGATTGTAAACATCATTGATCTGAGTTTATGCTCTTCAGTTTATGAGCAAAACATTATTTTCAAATAGAGCTTTTTCACTCAAAAACTGAGTATAAACTCAGATTCAAAAACACAAAACCTGTGCTAAATGAAATCTTGTGAAAGGATTGAGTCCAAGATTTGTTGATAATAAACCATAACAGGAAATTTTTTTTTTTTTAGTTTATCTGGATCTTATCTGTGTTCTTGTCCTCTCAGAATCTCTCTTTGAGGCTGCATTCGCTCCATTGCACAGGATCCATTCACTTCATCTGACCTGACAGCCGGTGAGTGTGTGAGTGACTCTTAATATAAATTAATTTGTGTTATTATGTACAAGACTAATTTGATCTGCAGTGTGTGATCATGAGTTGTGTTGTGTGTGTACAGGTTTGATTAGAATAGTCCTCAGAAGTGGGTTAAGTCTGACGAATCCACCTTTTGGGGACATTCTCATTTTTGAATGCAGAACGTTTTCTGTTAGGGTTAGTGTTAGATTATATATATTTATATTATGTTATATTATATTATATCATGTTTATAACTAGCTGTACAGTATAAATATCTATGGAAGGTGCCCGAGTGTGTGTGTGAGAGAGAGAGTGTGTGTGTGTGTGTGAGAGAG